CACGCCTGGACGACAGCCTCTCCCTCTACTTCGTGGACCTGTTCGACGACGGCTTCGGGGTCTGGGAGGGGCGCAACGCCTTCTACGGGTACAAGCTGCTGAGGCTCCGGACGACGGGCAAGGTCGACCTCCCGAAGGCGCTGGCCTCCCTGAAGGGTTGGACGAAGCGGGCGCCCGGGAGGATGCGTCTGCCGCTGCCCGACATCATCGTGGACGACATCGCGCTGGACCTGGTGGAGCACGGGAACCCCCTGATGGGGGCCGCGGTGGTGATCCAGACAGACACCTACACGCGGCCCTCCGAGGTGGTGGGCCTGAGGCAGGGCCAGATCTTGCCGCCGGCGCCGGTCGCGAAGCTCGGCGCGCACTATGGCATCGTCATCGCGCCCTCGGAGTGGCGCGAGACCACGAAGACGGGCGGTCAGGACGACAGCCTACTCGTGGGCGACGTGGCGAGGCCCTGGCTCACGAGCGTGCTGCGGCTGCTCCACAAGCCCAACGTGTCGGACAAGAAGAAAATCTTCAACTTCACCCTCGGCGACTACGAGCGCGAGGTGAAGAAGTCGGCCTGCCGCCTGGGCTACACCTCCCTGGGCGTGTGCCCGCACGTCTTCCGGCACTCAGGCGCCAGCAACGACAAAGCGCACTCCCGGAGGACGTTGAAAGAGGTTCAGAAGCGCGGGCGATGGGCATCGTCCGCGTCGGTGGCTCGCTACGAGAAGGGGGCCCTGATCTTGCAGCAGTTGCGCAAGGTTCCCTTGGCCAGGCAGAAGAAGGCGGCGGAGCGCAGCAAGCGCCTGCCGCAGGTCCTCCTTCAGAAGATTCGTGAAAAGTAGCGGCCGCCAGTTCATGATATGGGTATGGGCGAAAGAGGGGCCGTCCAAGATGACAGCCCGACGATGTTCGACAAATTATCTCGTCTCAGGCCTGAGCTTCGATTGGATTACCTTGTCAGGGAGTGCGCGTGAAAGGTGATCCAAACTATATCGCACAGCTTCGCTGGATATGCATGTCTGGGCGAGGTTTTTAGGCCATCTAGGGGTGTGTATAGTCGTAGACGTGAATACCCCAACAGGCCCCTCCTCGCCCGTGCGTGTAAATGCTGACCCTCCGCAACTGCGGTGGCTCAAAGTCTGCCCACCGTCAGCCACCCTCGAGCTCGGCATGCCTCGCTCGTAATTCATTGCTTTTTCCGCTGGGCGAAAGAGGGGCCGTCCAAGATGACAGCCCGACGATGTTCGACAAATTATCTCGTCTCAGGCCTGAGCTTCGATTGGATTACCTTGTCAGGGAGTGCGCGTGAAAGGTGATCCAAACTATATCGCACAGCTTCGCTGGATATGCATGTCTGGGCTAGGTTTTTAGGCCATCTAGGGGTGTTGTTGTTGTTGTTGTTGTTGTTGTTGTTGTTGTTGTTGTTGTTGTTGTTGTTGTTGTTGTTGAACATTATTCCTTCTAAAGAATTATTATTGTTGGGACCCCTGGTGCGCGACCTCTGCGCCGCGCCTAGGCCGCAGCTACATTTTCATCATTTTTTCGCGAAAGCTTCAGAAAAGTGGATGAGCTCCGGATCCGGTTTTTTGTTGACGCTCGTTTTCCCTTGCAAAAAACAATAGAAAATGAAAATTCTTGTTTTTACTTGATCAAATTGCAAGAATCCCTTGCAAAAAATAAGGTAAAGTGGACATTCGTGCGCGCAAGACGAAATCCTTCCAAAACCTTAGGTTTCGTAACGATTTTAACATAAAAACATCAAAAACCCAATGGTTTTCTCAGAAAAAATTGTCAAAATGTCCTTCCGCGCGCTCTTGCGGATTCCTAGGAAACCCACCAGATTTTAAACATTTCTGTTAAAAGGGCCTTTGCGAGGAACCTTTTCAGGTGCTTCGACCTTCTGCAACAACGGTTGCGAGCCTACGAGGGCCACCATCCCTTGCAAAAAATGACACGAAGTGCACATGCGCGCGGCCGCCGCGCGCGCGTGCCGAAATCCTGCCAAACATAATGTGATTTCAATAATTTCAAGATGCGATGTTCCGAAAACATATGCAAACGCAAGACTTTCTCATCCGAAAAATATCAAAATCCACCCGCGGGCTCTTCATGAATCTTTAAAACCCAAGATGGCCCCAAGAGGCGCTCAAGATGGCCCCAAGAGGCGCCCATGAGGCCGCAAGAGGCGCCCAAGATGGTCCCAAGAGGCCCCAAGAGGACTCCAAGAGGCCCCCAAGAGGTTCCAAAGAGGCTCCAAGTTGGCTCCAAGAGGCTCCATGTGACGAATCTCTTTCTATCTCTCTCTCCACTGGCTCTCTGTCTTGCTCTCTCTCTCTCTCTGTCTCTCTGTACTATGTATGTCATACGCAACAAATGCACCATGCGGGGCACATGCGGGGCCCAAACAAGTGATCAACCTCTGCGGGTGTGTACTCCACGCCAGTGTAGTATCCACGATCGTCCGCGCGCCACGAAGTGAAGTGTCCTGACGTCATAGGGCGGGAAGCTGGGTGTGGGTGGTTCCCGAGAGTCGTGTGGATGTTTGGTAGAGCTTGCATTGCCCCCCCACGAAGTGGGGGTATTGGCTGGCGTCGCATGAAAACCCTGGCACTGGGGAGAACACTGAGCGTTCGGGTAAAATGATTGTTGTTGTTGTTGTTGTTGTTGTTGTTGTTGTTGTTGTTGTTGAACATTATTATTTCTAAAGAATAATTATTGTTGGGGCCCCTGGTGCGCGGCCCCCCCGCCGCGCCTAGGCCGCAGCCACATTTTCATCATTTTCGTGAGGAAGTCTCAGGCAAAACGTGGGTGTCCGGATCCGGTTGTTTTGTTACCCCGTTTTCCCTTGCAAAAAATAAGCTAAAGTGGACATTTCTTGTTCTAACATAACCAAACTTCAAGAATCCCTTGCAAAAAATAAGGTAAAGTGGACATTCGCGCGCGCAAGACGAAATCCTTCCAAAACCTTAGTGTTCGTAGCGATTTCAACATAAAAACATAAAAAAACCAATGGTTTTTCAAAAAAAAGTGTCAAAATTTCATCCCGCGCGCTCTTGCGGATTTGTCGGAAACCCAACACTTTTTAAACATTTCTGTCAAATGGGCTTTTCCGAGCAACTTTTTCGAACTTCTGCAACAACGGTTGCGCACCTGCCAGGGCCATCATCCCTGTCAAATAATACCATGCGGGACACATTCGTTTTTTCTTCGCGCGCGCACGCCGTCGTCGTCGGCCGCGGGGCCCTGAATAGTAGCCACGGTCGTCCGCATGCCACGAAGTGAAGTGTCCGAACGTCATAGGGCGGGAAGCTGGGTGTGGGTGGTGGCGAAGAGTCGTTTGGAAATTTGGTAGAGCTTGAACCGGCCCCCCCACAAAGTGGGGGTATTGCCCGCCTCCTATGAAAACCCTGGCACTGGTGAGAACGGTGTGTCCCCACGTGCTAGTAATTGTTGTTGTTGTTGTTGTTGTTGTTGTTGTTGTTGTTGTTGTTGTTGTTGTTGCTGTTGTTATAATTGTTGTTGTTGTTGTTGTTGTTGTTGTTGTTGTTGTTGTTGTTGTTGTTGTTGGTGTTGTTGTTGTTGTTGTTGTTGTTGTTGTTGTTATCGTTGTTGTTGTTGTTGTTGCTGTTGCTGTTGTTGTTGTTGTTGTTGTTGTTGTTGTTGTTGTTATCGTTGTTGTTGTTGTTGTTGTAGTTGCTGCTGCTGTTGTTGTTGTTGTTGTTGTTGTTGTTGTTGTTGTTGTTGTTGTTGTTGTTTGCTGGTTGTTTCGCGTTGGTGCTTCGATATTGCCCGTTTAGGTTTTTTCTTTTGTGTTTGTGTGTGTGTGCGTGTGTGTGTGTGTGTGTGTGTGGGTGTTTGGGGTTTGCGCGCCCTGCTGTGCTTTCACGCAGTGCCGTTTTCTTTTCCCTCTGCCTCTGGCGGCGCTCTCGCGGCCACGCCTGGGGCGGGTGGGGCGGTTTCTGCTCGGCGGTGGAGGGGCCCAGACACCTGGCGGCACGGCAGCCTCCTCTTCGTCGTGTGGTGTTTGAACATAGTATCCGTGGCCGCCCACCCCGCCCCTTCCCCTCCTCCCTTCTCTCCTCCGTTTCTCCCTCGTCATTGTGTTCACCTCGTGCTGTTATTTTCCGGCGCCTCGGCGCCCCCTCCGTTGTGCCTCCATGGCGCCACGTACGCGGAGCCAGTTGCCAGTTGCCAGTTGCCAATCCGTGGCCGCTCGGGCCTCGGGGGAGATTCGCGCATGCAACGCGTTCGCTTTCTCTTTCAGGCCACGGTCCACTGCACGAGTATGCCTATCGCAGGGCCAGCTTGTGCGGGGCTCCTGGTTTGCCTCGCGACCTTCGGATTCGCACAGCGGCTGCGTCCGAGTCGTGCACGGAACGCTGATCGCCTTTGTCCAGAGAACTGTGGGCCTTTGGAGGGCCCCGTTCGGACCTCGGGACCATCTTCAAAAAGTCCTGGGACGGAGCACGGACCCTCCAGAATCCAGGGTAGGGTCGGGAGTTCTGGGGACCCGCGCCACGAAACAAACAGGACGTCGAAAGAACAGGGAGAACCTGCTGGAGACTTCTAAAGCCTTCCAGATGACGTTGCAGGTCATCGGGGGCTTTCGAAGGTACTCGGAGGCTGTCGCACGTGCTCGTGAGAGCGCGGAGGCTTCCGGAGATGCTCGGATGTTTTGCTTTTGGGGGATTCCGGAGGCATGCGGAGGAACTCTGACGGCTGGGGAGGCCCCGGTGGCTTCTCGGAGCTCTTCGGAGGTCCTGGGAGATCGCCAGGGGCTTCCACAACATGTTCATAGAAGTTCTGGGCCGAGACAGCAAAGGACGACGTCAGTTCATCGACTTCTGTACCAATGTACCCCTGTCTACCCTTTCCCTCCGTCTCTTCCTCCACTTCCTCCTCTCCTTCCTCCCGTGCATGTGCGCTATCGTCACATGACCCGCAACTTGTTTAACTCACTTTGCACACGCGTCCGCCCATGGATGCACGACCGCAGTCAGTCAGAGGTACCGTGCCCCCGAGATTCTCCTGGGCTCCACGTCGTATACCAAGGGCGTCGACCTCTGGAGCGTCGGCTGCATCCTCGGTGAGCTGATGTCTGGGAAGCCGGTGTTCCCAGGCACCTCCACCATGAACCAGCTGGACATCAGGGGTACCATTAGGGGGGGTTAGGCTCAGGCGGGGACGCGTCGACCCCCGATCGCCCACTGATCGCCGACGGGTGCCCGACAGCCCACCTCATCGCCGATTCCAGCTCGATGGTCGCCCCCCCTGAGCCCGTCCCCCTACTCTAAGGGGAACGCAACAGGGACACAAACAGAAAAACTCGGAGGTCCGCGCGGATTTATCGGATCTTCGCCGGACCCCCCTCCCTGGCGCGCGGAGCGCGCCAGGGGGCCCTGGCGCGGATCCGAGAAATCCGCGCGGACCTCCTAGGTTGTCTGTTTATGTCCTTGTTTGTTTCCCTGTTCTCGATCTCGTCGTCCGGCTTTCGGGCACTCTCGAAAACCTCGAGCCTCAAGCATCGAACCTCGAACCTCGAGCCTCGATCCTCGAACCTCGAACCTCGATCCTCGAGCCTCGAACCTCGACCCTCGATCCTCGATCCTCGAACCTCGAACCTCGAACGTTCGAAAACCTCGAACCTCGATCCTCGAACCTCGAACCTCGAACCTCGAACCTCGTCCCCCCCCACGCCCCCCCTCCCCCAGGACAGGATCATGGAGGTGACAGGGCGGCCGGCGTCGGAGGACGTGGAGGCGATCAGGTCGCCCTTCGCGGCCACCATGCTGGAGTCCCTGCCGATGTCCAGGCCGAGGCCCTTCAGCCAGCTGTTCCCCAACGCCAGCGTCGAGGCTCTGGACATGGTCCGGCTGTACCTGATGTTCAACCCGGACATCGGAGGAAGAACAGGTACTTTGTTAGTGAATTTAATTGGTTTTAGGGTTTTAACAAATGGTCGCAGCCACGCAGAGGGCGTGCGTAGCGACGCCCCAAATGCTCGGTCTCCAGCACTTCTATGTGGCGGCGCCCCCGCAGGCACGCAGAGGGCACGCGTGGCGACGGGGGCGTCGCCACGCAGAGCTTCTGAAAGCCAAACATTTTGAAAACCAATTGTTTCCACTACGAAAGTACCCATACCGCTGTCCCTCCCTCGTTTCCCCCTTCTTGGGCCTCCTGGGAGGCCCTTGCCGCCGCCGCTGGAGTCGCCTCAAAATTCTAGTCAGAACGCATCCCGGAAGAGGTCCGGGGAGTAGCGGCATTGGTACTTTTTTGGTTTCCCCAGGACAAGCGGATCTCCGCGAAGGACGCCCTGCAGCACCCGTACTGCGTCCAGTTCTACTGCGAGGAGGAGAACGAGGTCGGGAGGGAGATCAGGATCCCCCTCGACGACAACGTCAAGCTCACCGTGCAGGACTACCGAGAGCGCCTGTACAGCTCGGACGAGGGAACACCTGCGCGAGCATATACTCTCGAGGCTCCGCGCGGATTTCTTTTGTCGGTGCTGCCCCCCCCCCCCCCCCCGGCGGCGCCTGCGGCGCCGCCCCCGGCGCGCTCCGCGCGCCAGGGAGGGGGGCTGCAGCGCTCATTCGCCCCACTCACTCACGAAGCCGTGCGCCGAACGTCGGGCAGGGCAGGCGTGACCAGGACATGCAATGCCGGCTCACGCCGGTCCTCCAGCCTGACTCACCATGAATATACATATATATATATATATATGCATATATATATATATATATATAGATATGTATATCGTTTTTTTTTTTTTTTCTTTTCTCTCTCTCTCTCTCTCTCTCTCTCCTATCGCAGCAGCGTGTTTGGCGACCTGCCCAACCCTTTCGTTCCTGGGGGTTCAGGCTCAGACTCGCGCAGGCCGCGTGAAGCCGTGAGGAGCCTCGAAAGTTTAGGCTTGTGCAGTTTTCTTCCTTCTTCCAACAACGAGGTGCACAGGAAGAAGAAGGATCGAGGGAAGAATCCGAGGCGGGAATTTATACATGACCACCGCCTGGAGGGTCAGTTTTCGGAGCCTCGACAGGCGGTGGATATGGACATATTCGGGCCCCTGGGGGCCGAAATATATCCATATCCACCGCCAGCTGGGGCACCAGCACGTCGGTTTCCAGGCGGTGGATATGGATAAATCCCCGCCTCGCAAAGAAACCCCAGGACTATCGGACGGGGCTATGACGAGGATAAGTCCGTGACAGAGCGTTTTGGAACGCTCTCAGGGCGCTCTGGGACGCTTTGGGAACGCTGCGGCGGCCGAGACATCCTCCAGAGCCGCCGCACCGCAGAGATTTTCGATTTGGCCTCACCCGAATTTATCCTCGCCCTGGCTTCTTCGTCTTAGACCAAGCTGGACGGTGACCATGATCGACACGACGCTTGCATTTTTTTTTTTTTTTTTCGTTGTTGGAGGGGGGGTTGTTGTTGTTGTTGTTGTTGTTGTTGTTGTTGTTGTTGTTGTTGTTGTTGTTGTTGTTGTTGTTGTTGCTGTTGTTGTTCTTGTTGTTGTTGTTGTCGTTGTCGTTGTTGTCTGCTATGTGTATATATGTTTTTCTTCTGTTTAGTTGTTGTTTTGTTGTGCTGGTTTTTTGTTGTGTTCTTGTTTTTTCTTTGTTTGTTTTTTCCTCCCCCTCCAGAGGAGGAGCGCCGCCGGCACGTCGGGGGCCTCGAGGCCCAGGAGCTGACCTAGGCGTCCCCCGTGCACCCGCGTGCGCCAGGCCGGGCGGGCACACCCCCAAGTCGGGCCCGTCTCCCCCTACGGGGGGAATATTTCAGAAGTAGTCTCAAAATGGTCTGGGGATTTTTGTTTGGACAATTTTTGAGCATTTGGGTGGGTATTTTTAGAGTATTTTTTTTTAGCTTGCGCCCAACATCCCCCTGTAGGGGGACACGCCCGACTTAAGCATACCCCTCCCTCTCCATGGGGTCGACCTGAGCGGTGCTTCGGCGATCTCGCGGGCCGTTATCGTTTCGATGCCGCTTTGCAGCGATGGCGGACAGAAGACCATACGAGGGAGAACGAACACAGCACGAAAGCGAAAAACACAGCTGATGCGATCCCTGTCCCCCTCGGTATCCCCATCCCCACCGGGGGGCCTCCGCCCTTCCCCCGCTTCCCCCTCCTCCCCCCTCCTCGTCCCCTTCCACCTCCCCTTCCCCCCCCCTCCTTCTCCATCTCCTCCTCCTCGTCGTCCTCCTCCTCCTCCTCCTTCGCCTCCTCCTCCTTCGCCTCCTTCTCCTTCGCGTTCTTCTCCTCCTCGTAATTACTCCTCCTCCTCCTGATTCCTGACTCCAGATGGCTGAAGAGATCCACGATTGCAGCCCTCCCTCCTCCTCCTTCTCCTCCTCCACCTCCTCCTCCTCCTAAGCCTCCTCGTCTCCCTTCCCATTACCATCCCACCACCCCAGTTTGGGATGCGCCCCTCGAACGCCGAAGGGAACAGCCCATGTCCCCACCCATGGGTGTAAATCGGCCAGTGGGGCCCATGCGGCACGCCAGTGGGCATAGGGATCGATGAAACAATGCTCACTCTCCCTCTCTCGTGTAAGTGGTAGGCGACACGCATACCCCAGATTTCGTCAGAAAAGTGAGGGGGTCACAACCCTCCCAGACGAGCAGTTTTAGACCCCCCCAGACAAGCCATGAGAAAGGGCGGCCTTTTGCCCAGACCCCAACGGAATCCTCCAAGACAGCTCAAATCAGACCCTCCCCAAGTCAGACCACCTCCCTTACTGCTTGTGTTATGAAGTCCAGAGCATCCGTATCCGCGGCCTCGCTGCTTGGTCCCCTGGGCCGCGACCCCGCGGATACGGGTTGTCTTTTCGCGGACGCCTCTCGCGGAACGTGTCCGTGCGACCGCGTAGCCGCGGGACCGCGCCCCAGAGTGCAGACCGTGAGAGCGCGGATATGGACATGTTCGCCGCTCGTGAGCAAGCGTCGGAGGTTCGTAGACCGAAGCGCAGCAAATGGCATTAACGCACAAATTTTGGAGGTCCACGCAGACTACTTGATTTCTAGAGCCTGCGCTGGAGCCCCCTGGCTGCCCCTCCAGCGCCGCCCGTGGCGCGATCCGCGCGCTCAGGGAGGGGGTCCATGGGAAAGGACGGGAGGGAGGGGAATGAACTTTGGATACGGCGCGAGCGCACCAACCTTACCGCCTCCTCGGGCCTGACTGCTCCTCCTCCTCCGCCTCCTCCTCCTCCTCCTCCTCCTCCTCCTCCTCTCTCCTCCTCTCTCCTCCAGTCGCCTTCACTCTCCTCCTCGCTCCCCCCTTGCCGGTCTCGGCTAAAGAGCCTGGCTCAAGGCGAGCCGCGGCGCGGAGCCCCTGGCGCAGCTTCCCCCTCGCCCGGCGAGGTTGGACATGCCCCGTTCCAGGCTGTGACTGATTCGCATCACCTCCATACCTCCATACCTCGGACAGACCTCCTACCCTGACACGTCGATTAAGGAATTGGCCGTTTTCGGTTCGCGCGGGGGCGTCGCGACCGTCATTTTTGCGGGTCCAGGTCCGTCGGTTTCGGTCCCAGGCCGTTTTCGTCAAGGGGAGGTTTACTAAAGGGAGGTTTGTCCACCGCCGAATATTTTCGCGCGTGCCGCCATTGCCTCAGGTCAGCGCCGCCCGTGCCCTGCTTACACGCCGCCCACGCACTCATGCCAGGGCCGCCGAACCTCCAATCCCGAGAGCCTACTCGCGTGACAGGAGGCCAGTCTTATTGATCTCTCGCGCAGCGGGGGCACAGTTCGGCCACCCGGGCCCCACATGATTTCGAATACCAGCAGGCCTCCCATCGCGATGAGATTTGCTACCAGCACCGCCAGCAGCCACACTGGGCGGAGCGCTGATGACGCTCTGCCGGCGCCACCATCACGGCAGTGCCACGCTGCATTCCAGGCGCCCCATGTCCCCGACCAGACTGGGGTAGCTGGGAAGGACCCTCCCGAGTTCGCCCGCCCCCCGCGCCCCTCGCCCACCAGGGCGCGGACCTCCCTCGCACCATCACCAGGCCGTCTGCGCCCACTGCAGTACCCACGTTGGCGTATCACCTCGCGTGTTCGCGGGCACGCTGCGTAGGGGGGGCAGCGGGAAGCAGCGCGCGGCTTGCAGGCGCCCGCGCGCGGTTCGCGTCCTGCAAGTACACGTGGATCGCTGAGCAGGAGCGTGCGCGCGGGGCCGGTCCGCGTGCGGGCGCGCGCCTTCGCTGCGCAGGCGGTGATCGCAGGTGCGCGCGCGGCCCGACGGGGCGTGCGCTCGCCGCTGCGCCGCGCAGGCGACCACGGCATCAGCGGGACGTGCGGGCCCGGTGCCTTCTGCGGTCTCCTCCGTCTGCTTCGTTCGTCGTTGCCCCGTTTTCGGCCCGCTCTTCGTGCTCGCGTTGGCCCTGGCTTGCCCGGTTCGGTTCTTGTTGACCCTTGCGTGCTTCGTGCGTTCGGCTCGTGGTTCGCGTCGCGTGGCCCCCGCCTGCTTGCCCTCCATGGTCGTCCGCGTCCTTGCCTCCCGGTCTCGGGGTCGTCTCCTCGGTCGCTCGGTTCGCGCGTCGCGCCCGTGGCGTTCGGTCCCGTCCGTCTGCCCCGCCTCTCGGCGCTGGTTGCGGGCCGGCTTCGCTCTCGGCTCGGGCGTGCTTGCCGTCCGCCGCTTGCCGCTGCCGCGTGCTTGGCCCCCCCCGCGCGCGCGCTGGCGTCCGCCCCGCGCGCGCTCGCGCTCAGGTTCCCCTTTCTCCTCCCCCCCACCCGCAGATGCAGATTCGGGGGAGCGTAAGACCCGGGTTTGCCATGACTCGGGTTCGCCATCGTTTTTTGACGACCGCGCCTCGGATTTTGACGAGGAGGAGTTTCGTGGGATGTCTGCAGCGGGAGGCCTCGTCAAAATGCAGGCTCGGCCTCGTCATTTTTTTGACGACCTCGTCGGGGATTTCCGAGTCCCCCGTACCCGGGTCTTACGTCTCCCCGACAGATCATTCTCGTCTGGTCTGCCGCGTTCGAAGATCTGGTTTTCCTCCACGGCCCGTGGGCCTGCCCCCCTCTGGGTGCCGGGCCCGCCCGTGCGTGGGCGCCCCCTCTGTGTCGCGTCGCCGCCGGCTTCCCTCTGGTCTCGGTGGCACTGGGCTCCGTTGCCGTCGTCGGTTGTGCTGCGCTCGACTGCCTTGGCTAGCATCACAGAGGCCTACTGTTGGCCACGGTGGACCGACTGGCGTCCAGTCGCGCGCTAGCACCACAAGCCTACCGTTGGCTTCTGCGGTCACGGGCTCCTTGGCCCTCGCTGCCGCCGCGCAGTCTTCCATCTGGTCAATACGGACGGACGTACCATAACAAATCCCGTCAAGATCTATCCGTATCAGGCCTACTACATGGCCTCTGTGGTATGGGCTCTGTCAGTCGCGCCGCGGCCTATTGCTGGCCAAAGCGGACTGACGGACCTTGAAGTGTCCTGTCAAGATCAATCCGCCTCGAGCCTACCAACGGCCTCACCCACTCGGCGTCTCCATCGCCTGTGTCCCCTGGAGCTCCTCCATGAGGCCATCCAGGGGAGATCCGACGCTCACCGTCAGCGCAATAGCCGCTAGGCCTCCTTTTGCTGTGTCCCATGGGAGCGCTTGGCAACGCGTTCCATGGATCACGCCGTTGGTCGCAGTTGGGGGGTGCCCCTCCGCGGCGCTCTTTTAGCAGGGACCTGTGGGCACGCATGCCAACACTTGCTTTACCACGGCCTTCTCCCTGCGAGGGACGCACTGGCAACGTTGGGCCCTCTGATCCATCTGCGTACGCTTGGGCTCCTGGGAGCCTTCCTGCCTGCTGTCGCAGGCCTCTGGGAAGTCTGGGGTCCCGCACGGGCCGATCGCGTGGCGGCTGTGGCCGCCAGATGGGGAATGAGGGGCGCGGCCACCGCTGCGTCGAGCCAGTGCCGCAGTGGCCCGGCCACCGTGCGATGCGGGCGAGGCGAGGACGGGGGGAATGCTCGGCACAGGTCGGGGGACCCTCAAGGTCCCCGGATCTCGGGGGGGCACAGCAGCGCCCAGGATCGGACCCTGGACCAGGAGGGCAGGCCCTGGGGAAGAAAAGGTGTATGCATGTAGCTGCTAGCTTGGTGCTAGCTTTACGCATCTGCCGTGGGCGCGCAGACTGGGAGTGCCACTCCCGAATCGCCACTCCCCTCCTTGCTTTCCAGTCGTAGTCCCACGTGCACCGCGCCAGGGGGGGAAGCTTACGCGCCAGCCTCGTTCTCTACCTGCTGCCCCTCTCGCCAAAGAGGCGTGGGCAGCGGGCGCTTGTAGCCACGCCCGCGGGCGAAGTCATCCCCCGAAATGTTGTTTTCTCTCCCCCTTCCTTCCCCTCCTCGTCCTCCTCGTCCTCCTCTTCCTCCTCCTCCTCCTCCTCCTCCTAATCCTCCTCCTCTTCCTCATCCTCCTCCTCCACCTCCTCGTCCTCCTCCTCCTCCTCCTCCTCCTTCCCCCCCGTCCCCGTCCTCCTCCTCCTCCTGCTCCTCCTCCTCCTCCTTGCCCGCCATCCCAAGGGCGAGTGTCATCGTGTGTCCTCCTCCTCCTCCTTCTCCTCTTCCTTACCCGCCATCCCAAGGGCGAGTCGTATCGTATCGTATCGCAGCGTATCGTATCTCTCCTCCTCTCTCCTCCTCTTTCCTACTGTCCTCCTCCTCCTCCTCCTCGTCGTCCTCCTCCTCCTTCTCCCAAAGCCCCCGACGTCTTGATTCTTCGCAACGTCGATCCCCACCCAGAGGTCTCGACCCCTTCCCCGTGACCAGTTTTTCATTCTGTGTCGTTTCTTGACGTTCCCGAGGCCGGTAAGGGCCCCCGGAGGCCGAAAATAACGAGGCGTTTTTTTTTCACAGCGCGAGGCGGTCTGGGTCCTCCCCCCTCCCAGCCCTCCGACAGGCCAGCGGGCGCGCTCGCAGCACCAGGGCCCGCGGGCTGCTCAGGCGGGGCGCCTGGCCGCGCGCGCGCGTGTCGCCCGTCGCCGTCGCGCGCGGCGTCGTTCGCCTCCAGGAGGCCCCGGGGGGGGCGGCACGGGCCGGGAGCGGAAAAGGGACGCACACACACACACACACTGGCCAGGCGCAGACCCCGCCTGGACCTGGAGTCAGAACCGTGCATGCGCTTCGCGGCTTCCCCACTTGTAGAATCCTGGCGCGCAAAGCCGGAAGGGCGGCAGGGGAGGGGAGGGGACATTCGTAGAGCTCCAGAAACAGCCCTCTGCGTGTCCCCTGCGTGTCCCCTGCGTGTCCTCTGTGTGTCCTCTGCGTGTCCTCTGCGTTCGCGTGCCCTCCTGCGTTCGCGTGGCCTCCTGACCCGTGCTTGGCGTCCCGCGTGCTCTGCCGTCCTGGGGCAGCGCGGCCCTCGGAAGGGTCCTGCATCCGCTCGCGTGTCCTGTTCAAGCAAGCCCGACTGTAGGGGTAGGGCAACTTTGCAGGAGGAAGAAGCGGAGGTGGAGGGAGATGAGGAAGAGGAGGAGGAGGAGGAGGAGGAGGAGGAGGAGGAGGAGGAGGAGGAGGAGGAGGAGGAGGAGGAGGAGAAAGAGGAGGAGAAAGAGGAGGATGAGGGGGAGGAATAGGGGGAGGAGGACAACCACGACGAAGAGGTCGAGGATGTCTAGAATGAGGAAGAGGGGCGGCAGGGTTGGGGGAGGAATCTGATGAGGAGGTGCGGGATGGAGCTGCGCGCGTTGGTGCGTAAGGCGATGCAGTGGAAAGAGTCGGTTATGCCGTCGCAGTATGAGGAAGGGCGCTTCCTTGGATACCAGAAGATGATGAGGTGTATGATCTTGCGAAGGATCATCTGTGCTACGCGGAAGAGGGATGCTCTGTGCAGTGAGGAAGAGGGCAAAGACAGAA